CATGACAAAAAGAAAACGAGGGCATGATTTACAGTGCAATTGAATTGCATTTACTACATTCGGTGTAGCTGTCTCGCGACCGACACATTTTCTCTGAAATATGAATACGTATATTAAACACGGTATAATTGCGTATTGCATGCCGTCAATGGTGTTTCTTTGTGCCAGTAAAATGCATTATACGCTATTAAAAAAACTTGTGCTGCGTTGTTTCAACCCCTTTTTTCCTCTGCTTTGCTGCACTCGTCAAGCATTTCGAATATGTTCTGATTGTTTGACGTGGTGCTTAACATTTGATTACATGCATCGTATTTGTTGTGAATGTTTGTGTCACTGCTAATTCTAAACGATTCAGCTCTTTGTTTACCCTTTCCAAGTGCCGCCAATGCAATTTTTGTCATGCATACACTCGGTGCGCTCTTTCGTTCACCAACTGCATGCTTCAGGCCAAAATACAGCTCCGTTTGAACACCATCAAAGAAATTACACTCCTCCTTGCACACTCAAACCATCGTAACATACTTCGTTTCCATTTTTCACTCGCTTCTTCAACACAATTTATGGAACCGGTTTGCTTTTGCACCATGTTTTCAGGACGATTCTCATTTACAACATTCAAACTACTTATTTGTAGCCTAGGTTTTCGAGACCAATATTAGAAGGTGGCACTTCCGTTGGTTGAAGATTTTTATGGAAACTTCAGGAAAATGTAGGTACTCTGGTCTTAGATTTGACTTCATTTAGAAATCTTGATGTTTTAAACTTTTTTCAATTTGGCTTTATTTGTTCAATTTTTTTTTTGTATTTTCCAACTCTCTCATTCGCTCTGAATTGGACAACTGAAATTGAGCGCAAACACCACCTAGATAATCTAAGGCTAATGATAATACAATCAAGTAAACTCTCCGTTCTGTCAAACATCATACTGACATACGGACATCACGAACTCGCCATAGGTTCTTTAGAGGGCGCTTTGGTCAACTGAGCTCCAACCAAATACATGTATCAGTATACAAAGCATTCCATTGTTGGTATTTTCAATGTGAATTCAAAATTGTCATAATTGTTATATATGTAATTGTTTATATGCTAATCAACGTAGTATAAATACAATTTTGATTGTGCAACAATATCAACATCATTAGATAAGAGGAACGTAAGGTAAAAATGTACTTAATTTCATTCCTTTTAAGAAGAAGAAGACTTACAATGCAGAAAGGAAAACATTTGCATTGGAAATGATCCATTCCCATGTCATATTCTGTCACATTCGATGTCCAACTTCTGTAAATTTAGGATTTAAATTGATGAAACGGCCAATTTGCTCATCTAAAATGTCAGTACATTTTGTTCTGGATGTTTCTTTCAATCCTTGAAACAATTATTCTCGAAATGTTCCAAGCAAAACTTTATCCACTCGACATTCTTCTCAGAACTGCAGTTACAATAGAAGGGATGACGCACCAAACCTTGAATCAATTTGACACGAAAATTATCTAGATGACATTTGATTGAAACAGAAAATGCAGTTACTGTATTAATTATGTCAAAATTGAAATGATTAGACGTCATGTTGACATTCTTTTTGGCCCACAAAGCCAATTACTTGCGATATAAATAAAAAGGGCTCATCCATAGATTTGGACACAGTTTCTTTTTATGTGCTCTTGTGAAAACGTGACTTGGGAAATAAGTCCTACAACTACTCAAGAATCAAAACCTTAAACCAAATCATTTTTGAACAAAATCATAAGAAAATAATTTAGAGAAAATAGTTCTAAGAATCGTTTACAATAATAATAATAAAAATATCGTATATAGTGTTTTATTGTCTACCTAAAAACAAGCCGACATTTTTCAAAATACAATTTTCAAAATTTCAAATAACTATTTACAAAGAACAACAATTCTCAAATAATTCAGTTTTCTCAAATTCAAAAAGGAAGAAAAACTTTTGTCTAAATCAAAAGCAATAGATGCGCAAATAAATGGCAAAATGGCAAAATGAATGCAAATAGAAATTAATATCAAAGTGTTATGAATTGGCAAATCAATTTTAAATTTACAAGTCAAAAAAGGCAATATCAAAAACAATTGGTAATTTCATTCATTTGTTTGGTAGCTTCATTTCATCTCCCTTTCCAAGTAATTTATTCGGATGAAATCGTCATTCTGATCACTGGCACTTCATAGCAGGAATCGCTTCTCAACTCTCCTCTCAACTTCTCGGTTCAATCGCATCCTACGCATCGGACTTCGCTCCATCAGGGCAACCATCAACTCTGCAGAATGAACATTCCATAAACTTTTTGTTATGAAAGATACATATAAAAAAATTATCACCTGGTTTGGTGATTTCATTTTATCCTGATAAAAAGAAATCGCCAGAAACAAAAATTCTCCTCATCAACGCTACATCATTCAGTCCAGCATGTTCAATGGGCCGAAACATGCATCAGGTAATCTCATGAGCTTCGATTTGAATTCAAATGATGAGATTGTTGGATCAATGAATAGGGCTGAGAGGTTAAATGCTCTGCAAGCCCAGATGAATGATGAATTCCGTGCATATTCTGTGCTACAGAATGGAATTCGAATGAATTCTGGATTTCTTAGGGTTCTGACACCCGTATTTAGTGACATTTCGCTTCTAATGCTTGCAGAGTTGTATCTTCCAGTGATTATTTTGTGAATGAGAAGGATGGCCGCATTAATCCTTCGTCTTTGTAATGAAGCTAAGTCCAATTCATTATTGAATAAAAAAGCGATATAGTCGTTTTGATTATTATCAATCAAGAGTTGGTTGGCGCGAAAAAGATTATCTGGTCAAAGATGAAACCGCTAGAGTTTAATCAACAAATGTGGATTTGTTTGAGCATTTGCCCGGCGGATGTGCCAAGTAGCAAACGGAAGAGATTTGCGTATGTTGCATGTGGCTTAACGGCATTAATGGCGTGTGGTGCCTCAGCGAGTGTTTTATTTCTAGTAAGATTTGTGTCAACTGATTTGAAGGAATCTTTTTATGTGGTTTTTCAAGTAGCTGCAAGTTCGGCGGTTATGTACATGCTAGCGGTTGGATTTTTTTCACGCGACAAAATTAATGCCATCTTTGAAACTTTGGAAGAATTTTACAATGAATGTAAGCATTAATAATTTATTATGTACTCATCTGTTATCACTTATCCAAAATAAAATGCCATCTATAACAACATTTCAAGCACTGATAGGAAATTTATGTCCATTCCAAATGCTTTAACTTGGATTCTAACCTTCAAACCGTAAAATATATTTTCTAACATTGTTCGTGAAATCGGTGCCTGAGTGCCCATAATGCATTTTAAATGGGAAATGTCAGTTTTTTCTTAAATTTTTATTTTTGAATGTAAATATTTCAGTATTTATTGATCGGAAAAGAATGAAAATTACTTTGAAATGTGATAAAAGTCATAAAAAATCGAAATATGAAAGACAACAGCAAGTTTCTTGGAATTTTTTCAATAAAGTTGGGATTGCAATGTTGATCTCTTCACAAAAATGAAGGCAAAAACATATACATACAAATTCCACTATGGCCGATTTTGACGTTAGAAATTGAGATTTTGAACGGCAGGTCGGATCAAAAAGTTATGTATATCACTAGAAAGGTCTTGAAAAGAAGATGTCATTTTTGGTATAAAATTATAAAATAGGCCGGCATTTGGCCAATATTTGTCCGTTGAATTTTTTTTGGCCAAAATTGATAAAATGGCCATACTAAAAATGTATATGGGCACAGAGGCACCCATTTCACATATAGCGCATCACACATGTTTACGCGCATATATGGTAAGCTAGTGCGCGTATGTGGGTATGTTAACGCAATTTTTGTAGCCAAATGTTCAACGAATCGAACCATAGTTATTTTATCAATGATAAGAAATAATCAAGATATGAGCATTCAAAGTTGGTTTTGGGCACAGAGTGACCCAACGGTTGAAGGTTAAATCCAGCTCTAATGTTATTCAAAACTACATTCATCTAAAAAATGCCGATAAGGTGTAAAAATGTGAACACAATTACTATGATCAACTGACCGAAAAATTATGTGGATATCTTCCATTTCATCGTTTGAACTCATTTTTTTTAGTTGAAGCCACGGCTTCAGAATTTGAAATTAGATCCTTGGGCTTAACTGAAAAAATAAGTTCTGATAGGTAAGAATGGAGATATCCATGTTATTATTATGTAAGTTTGTTATTAATTTGCCCAAGTGTTCACGCTTTGTTGGCGTTGAAAATTAAAGTCGACCCTAAAATCAAAACCGGGAAAGCACTTGGATCGAATATAAACGTCACTTGCTAGATAGCACCCTAAAGGATGAAATGTAGCTTTTAAATTTTTGCTAGATTGCATCATAAAAGTCTTCAAGCTGCTGTAATCTAGCAAAAATTAGAAATCATTTACGGGTGATTTTATATTTGCACTGTGAACCACAACTACATTGTTTAAAATTTATGCCTGAATATTGACGGAATTCCGGCTAGTATACGCGCTCAGTCGATATTCCTCCAAGTGAGTTGAATTCCATGCGTTTTTTTCGCCTAGATTTTAGCCTGAAAGTAGACTTTTAGTTGAAGTTTTAGCCGAAATGTAGACTGAGCGCGTATACCAGCCGAAATTCCGTTCATATTCGGGTGTAAATTTCAAACTGTGTAGATTACATGTCTAAACTCAGATTAAAACACAAAACATACGTTAAATTTTTTCAACTTAAAACCAACTTAAAAACCGCAGATTGAAACCGCATGTGCTTGAAGCGAAGATAATTTGAGAATCTAAAACACAAACAGATAAGCTCCTCTGAATATCAGTTCAGTTGTCAATATAAATAGAGACGCTTTGATTTTATTATACAAAATCAAAATTTGTATAGAAAAGATTTAACGGAAAGCGTTCATAATAAATTGAAATAAAAATTATTTAAACCGTTGAGAACTGATTTTTTTATTTTTTGTGGTATCATGGACAAGAAAATTATTATTGTCGGAGCAGGTGCTTCAGGAGTGGCAGCCGCTACGAAACTTGTATCAAATGGATTCAAGCATGTGACAATATTGGAAGCTGGAAATCGCATTGGAGGACGAATCAACACGATTCCATTCGGAGCGAATGTTGTCGATATGGGGGCTCAATGGTTTGCATTCATTTTTGTTTTCCTATTGAAAGAACAAGTTTCAGAATTGGATGGCCAGCTTTTAGTTGAGTTGTGAATGAATGAACACCTTTGAAAGACATTCAAGTGACGACGGCGAAAATGAAACAAGCCCTTTATATGTTTTTATTGCATCATTTGTTTATTTGTCGATTTTAAAACTGTATACTTTGAAAGTTCAACATTCATTACTGTTTCATTGTAATAATATACATCAAATTAATTATTCATTCAATCATTTTTGTTACACAGTTATTTGTCAACCTTAGTAGTTGATTTCATAATTAATCTTTTTTTTAATCTATTTTTATCATTTACGAAAAAAATTCAAGCAAACTTTTAATTTCGTAAAATTTCCCAAAAAGGTGTCACGGTGAGAAGGGAAACGTCGTTTATGAAATGGCCAAAGACAAAAATGTTCTGGCACACAGCAATGAAGATGACTTCCTGACAACGTATGTTCGATCTGATGGTGAAGAAATCTCTATTGAACTATCGAAGAAACTCTCGGCTTTCAATATACAAATCTATGAATCATTGGATAATGAGGACGAAAAGACATCCTATCAAGGCTCATATGGCAACTACTTTGCAAAAAAGTGCGTATCTGTGGAATTTGCCAAATCTCCAATTCATTTCAAATATATCTGCCTATAATAATAATTGAGTTTTGCCAAAACGGTTTCGGTCAAAAATTTCATCAACAAAAATAATAATTATTAGTTCGACTTCGATTTAGTGAAATTTCAATCAATGGAATACTGACTTTAAATTTGTTGAACGAATTTTACAAATTTTGTTAATTAAAAGGTTCAAAGAAGCGCTATCGACCGAAGAATTCAAAGAAGTCAATACTGAACTCGCACACGAATGCTACGATGCATTCCATAAAATGATAAATTCTCTGGATGGTGCCAACTCGTGGTTTGACACGTCATGCAATGCACATGAGTACGAAAATTGTGATGGTGATTTCAATTTGAATTGGAAGGACAAAGGCTATGTCACTGTTTTTGATCTGTTGCAGGTATGCAATTTTTGGAAGAGGTAGAAAATGCACATGAGTCTTTGTTGAGCTTCTTTTGCCAAAACTTTCTTGTTTTTTCTACTTTCTTCTTACTTATTCAATCAATAAAATTATTCCCTGCATCAAAATTTGAATTTTCACAAATAAAATCGTTTTTGTTTCCAGAATAAGATTCCCGAAGGAGAATCATCAAAGCCGGTGATCGATATTATTCCATTGATAAATTTCAATAAGGATGTGCTTAAGATTGTCTACAATCAACCTGATGGTCCCATAAAAATCGAGTGCAAAGACGGTAGTTCCTATTCAGCTGATCATGTCATTTGCACTGTGTCGTTGGGTGTACTCAAAGAGCGTAATTTAAACATGTTTGAGCCACTGCTACCCCTATGGAAATTCAATGCCATCGATGGAATGATGATTGGAACCGTGGATAAAATCTACTTGGAATTCGACAAACCATTTTGGAATGAAGACTGGAATGGATTTTCTATTTTATGGAAGTTGGAACAATTGAAATTAGTGCGAGCAGATCCAATAAACGGAGACTGGCTCGAGGGATTAATTGGTTTTTATCGATTCAATCCTCTTCAACCAAATGTAATCTGTGGTTGGATTGTTGGTGAAAAAGCACAAAAAATGGAGCTTAAGAGTGATGCCGATGTCAAAGCCGGGGCCGAAAAGATTCTACGAATGTTTTTGAGGCAATGGAATATTCCTAATGCAAAAACCATGGTTCGGTGAGGCTGAATTGAACATTAGAAAAACTGTTTTAAACAAAACATTCAAAATAAAATAAATGCTCTACAGTTCAATGTGGCAGTCAAATCCTCTATTCCGTGGATCTTACTCAAACTACACTCTCAAAGCAGAGGCATTAGGGGCCAGTTGCCAGAAACTTGCTGAACCGATCAATGACTCAAATGGAAAGCCCGTAGTGCAATTCGCTGGAGAGGCAACTAGTGCCAAGTATTATTCATGTGTTCATGGAGCAGTTGAATCAGGATGGCGCGAAGCTGATCGTCTTATTGATTTGTACAAGCCATCAAACAGCGTTGTCACCTCAATTGAATAAAAACCGAAAGAATTTGTAATAAAAACTAAGCGTTGATGGTTCATTTTATAAGTCCTGATTCAAATCGTGTTAATTTAAACTTTTAGAATGAATTCTCCAATGTTCTACTGCAAATGTATCTAAAAAGCATCACATTTTGTTTCCTTCTCCAAAGCAATCGATTTCCCTTTATCCATAGATATTCAACCAATGTTGGCGATTTAATCATTCGATAATGAAAAGATTTGCAACCACAAAAGCTTATGAAACCAAAAGTAAAACACAATTCGTACTCTCGGCCAATAAGTCAAAAAATGAATGTCTAATCCAGTGCTGTCCAACCTTTTTTTCCGCGTGGCCACAAAAGTGGCCAATCGTTCAATCCAATGGCCACTTTAAAAAAAACGCAGTACACACAGTAGAAAATGCAATTTTTGTTTGTTTATTTATTTATTCATTGACTAGTAATTAGTGGGATGTTTGACAATCTTTATTTTCGGTCAGTTTATTAAGATCAGGCGTTGAATCGGCTAGTTCGCAACGAAGTTCAGATTCCAAATTTGTTTGCGATAGCGCATTGGGGTATTTATGTTTACGACGTGTTAAACTGGAGAATGAAGCCTCACAAACGTATGTGGACCCGAACATGCAAAGAAATTTTTGCATAACATCTTTAAGAACTAGAAAAATTGCATTCAGATAGCAAACGTCTCCACAATGCATCACTTGTTTCATTTGGCAAACCACTTTCTTCATTTATAAATGAAATATCGAATTCCAAGTGAGTTTTTCTTATGCCGAAAAGATCTGATAAATTTTGAATATTATTTTGATCGAAAACGAATGGGTTTTTCAGGAATTTGAATGCCAAATGAAACTTTTTGAAATCTGAAAATCGTGAATGGAACGTATCAATCAAAATATCGAGATGCTGAACAAAAATGTCTAAATTATAACCGAGTTCAAATTTCTCATTGTATCGATTTGTATCGAGTACTGGGAAAAAGCTGTAATCATTTTCTTTGATTTGATTTTTAAAAGCGCCCAGTTTCAATTCAAATTCTTGTGCTATATATTGCTCTTTCTGCCGTTTTCGTCTTGCAAACTACGAAATTCGTTGGAACAAAATATATTGGGCATAAATTCAAATCATCTATCTAAAAATCTATAATTATAATAAAAAATCGTCAAAATCTTCTCGTTGGCAACTCAAATTTTTCGCCACTAGGTTGGACAGCACTGGTCTAATCATTCCAGAAGTAGGTTCAACGATAACGATATAAAAAAAATCCTATTATAGGGCGTATAAAGAGCGACAAAAAATTGGAATAAACTCAGTACATTATTTCAGATGAATTAATCGTTTTACATATTGAAAGAAGAGCTTCTAAATGGACATGAAAATAATTATTATCGGAGCTGGTGTGGTTGCCGCAACGAAGCTCTTATCGAATGACTTTATCCATGTGATGATTTTGGAAGCCGAAAATGGGATTGGCGGTCGAATTAACACCGTTTCATTTGGTGCGAATGTGGTTGATTTGGGAGCCCAATGGTAAAATTATCCTATTATAATCTTTTATAGTGAGGAAAATGCTAATGGCTTAGATCGAGGAATTTTCGTTTTAATTTTATTTCGATAGGTGCATGGGTGAAAAAGAAAACGTTGTTCACGAATTAGCGAAAGATCTCTTGGCAACAAGCATTGCTCTACAAGGCTATTACAATTTTGTTCGGTCTGATGGTCAAGAAATTCCGAAAGATTTATCTGCTCAAATCATTGAAATGGGGCTAGACATCACAAGCTCTGCATAACACTAACAAAACAAAGTAAAACACGAATTTGCGATGAGCACATTCAGTGAAGTTTATTTCAATTCGTTTACGTCGTTAGACGCACTCATGAACGCGACAAATTGAACGCATCAACCATGTTCCGTAACACAGTTCGATATCGAGACTATCGCGGTGGTTTTGAAGCCTTGGTATGTACTAAGAAAATTTTTGGCGTTCGATTTTAAGCTAAGTATACAGTTCCTTGTGAAATGAAAAAATTTCTCCGGTGAAATTTTCACAGGTGATATTTTTATGGTGTTTTTTATTTTCGAATTGCAAGCATAATGATTTTTGATGTATGAAACAGCTAACTCATTTCAATATCAACACGGCACATGAACAAATTTGGTTTTTGAGTTCATTCTTCTATGTGTTTTGTCTAAACAAATTTTTTTTCACGGTCGTGAAAAGTATTTCGCGTGCAAAATGTACGCGAAATTTTTTTCACGGCGGTGAAAAAATAAGAAAGATCAAAATACATTAAGAAATGAATTCAAAATTCAAATTTGTTCATGTATTGTGTTGATATTGGAGGGAGTTAACTGTTTCATACATCAAAAATCATTATGCTTGCAACTCGAAAATAAAAAACACCATACAAATATCACCTGTAAAAATTTCACCGGAGAACTTTTTTCATTTCACGAGGAACTGTGTACTTAGCTTTAGGTGGAACTAGTTATAATCTATACTCAAAAATTACATCTGGTGGGGCTAAATGTCGAGAAAATAGTCAATTTTTCCAGTTTTTCGACCAAAGCTCGAGCAGTATACATTTTTTTCACTTACTGTGTTCGACAACATTGTAGCCAGAGTATAGCTGAGCAACACTCCTGAACACATCATTTCGAAAAAACTCCATCCAGTCCACTTTATGAGCTCAAAATAACTTTTCGCTATTAAACGGTATTTTCGTGCATTTTCGAAGTCCTTAATCTTCTCAACTGATTAAAATAGAGCAATAGTGTCTGAAGGAACTTATTAGTACTCCTCAAGAGCTTTGCATGCCAAGTGCCAAAAGTGCTAAAAATGTTCTAAAAATGTATATGTAATACACTTGAGAAAAAAATTCTCTGTAATGCCGCGTAACATGTTACATTTGGCATTACATTGCGTGTGTAATGTTAGAAAATCTCATTAATAATGTTAGATTTTTGGCATTACCGTTAATGTTAGGTAACACGTTAATATTGTAACGGACGGGTCAAGTAATAGCTATTACAATTGTAATGCCAGTCATTTGGCATTACCGGTAATAGCTATTACAATTGTAATAACATTACAGGAAATTTTTGTTAACGTAATGCTACTACCTATCACATTTTTAATGCCGGTAAATCTGTAAAGACAGCAGTTCTTATTCAGCTGATCATGTTATCTGTACGATTCCATTGGGTGTCCTCAAAGAACGACACTTGCATCTGTTCGAGCCCATATTGCCTCTGTCGAAATTCACCAACATCGATGGTTTGTCGTTCGGAACTGTTGATAAAATCTTCTTGGAATTCGATAAACCATTTTGGAGTTCAGACTGGGATGACTTTTCCATTCTGTGGAAATTGCAACAATTGGAAGAAGTGCACGAGGATCCAATCAATGGCGTTTGGCTCGATGTTTACTTGGCTGCTATGCTTTCAATACTCTCCAACCAAATGTACTATGCTTTTGGATCACTGGTCTGAAAAGTTTGAAAATGGAGCAAAAAAGCGATGCAGACGTCAAATCCGGAGTTGAAAAAGTATTGCGAATGTTTGTTAAACAATGGGACATTCCGAATGCCAAGGCGATGATCCGGTAAGTTCATTTAGAAAAAATTGTTCACTTGAGCTGGTATGAACTTAATCCAATTTTATCTTTTATATTAGATCAAAGTGGCATTCAAATCTACATTTTCGTGGATCCTACTCCAATAACACGCTTAAATCCGATGCTCTCGACGTTTCAGCCGAAAAATTGAGGGACCCGATTAATGAGTCGAATGGACGGCCAGTGATTCAGTTTGCTGGAGAAGCAACAAATCCTAATCACTATGCCAGTGTCCATAGAGCCATTGAAACTGGATGGCACGAAGCCGATCGTCTTATTCAATTGTATAAATAAGAAAATTAATCCAATCTATGATTATCCAATTGGTTGATGGCTTCATTCGAATCATTTTAAAATTCTCTAATCCTAAATACTTTTTATTCGTTGTTCTAAGTTGAAATGAAAACAACAAGATTGTTCCGAATACACTGATTTAACCTTACAAGGCATTTTCGCACGTACTGCGATAAAAGCCTATATAAACAATGTTATTATATTTGACAATATTTGACTCGATGTCAATGACGATGTGGCAGCGCCACCTATAGAGATTCCTTATTAAAATAAGTGGAACTATTAAGTGCGTGCACCATATTGCACGTAAATTTTCAATATGGCAGCGCCCATAGAATTGAAAAGTTAACCAATTTCGAAGTCACAAATTATCGCTGTACGTTTTCGCACTCAGCTGAGAATGAAATAACGCTCACTTAGGGGTCGCTGTAGCTCAACAGATAGAGCATTTGATCCGTATCTAGGAAAAAAAGCAGATTAGTAGCTCTTCATTTCATGTAGTGCTAAAAAACTTTATGTTGTACTTTAAAACTAAAATATTCTGAGGGAATTTTTCTGTCGCAATGATTCAAATAAGTGACGTCAATTACAATTCAAATATCAGTGCAATAATAATATGACATTTGAACCCGTGAGCATAAAAACGTCTTATTAAACAATCGCCGAACAAAACGATACAAGAAAAAACTACCGAACAAAACGTACCACAACGGTAATGTGTAGCACAGCCGAGTTTCATTTTGAACGGTACCGTCCTGCTGTGTTACGTTTTTAACGTGTGTTTTGTTTGGTAGTTTTTTCTTGTATCGTTTTGTTCGGCGATTGTTTAATAAGTCGTTTTTATGCTCACGGGTTCATTTGCGAGCTCTCTTTTGCACCAATGGTGTAATTAAATTTATTTGAAATTGTAGTAAAAATTCAATTCACAAACATCTACTCAAAACTCAAATGTTATCAAACCAAGATATGTTGTGGATAAAGGACAAAATAGACGACAGCGCCTTGAAAGCGGTTCTTATTGAAACTAAAAATGGCATCAATTCAAGCCGATTTCTCTTTCCGTCATAAAGCTACCACTGAATTTCCAGAACGGTTTTATGGATATGAAGGGAGTTACAGCGCCATATGTGGTCAGAAAAAATATTCTTCGAAAAAAAAATCGTTTGTTCCATACTAGGTGTCTTTTTTGATGTAACTCATCACATGCAATTCATATCTCGTTGATAACATAAAGTGAATATGATATCATCGAATTTCGTGTACGTAAGCATTTAGAGGTTCCCATGCAATTTAAACACAATTGTACCATTTATTCAATTACTTTATTTGGCTTATAAATTGGGACAATTTTCATTCGGCATCTATTGAACCTGCTGCCAGAATATTTTGCTTTGCACTCAAAAAACTGTGAATACCAGAATAATATAAGTCTACTTGTGTCAGTAAATTGCATTTGCTCAACTGGAATAGAGTATGAAATGTGAGGTGGGGATTTTAAATGTAGTTTAATTTTAAAAGTCTTGATTGAGATGGTTTCAAGATGGTTTCTTGGATGGTCTGGCGCATGAACGATTACCCAGGATCATTTTGAATGCTGAAGTGAAAGGTCTGAAATGTAGAGACATACCTCGCAGATGGTATCTGGATTCTGTTAAGTGTGATTTGAATGAAAGAGCATACGAATGGAATGGGGAAATCAAGCCTTGGCTCTCGATAGAGTGTGTTGTATAAGGAATGTTGTTAAAAGATGAATGCGGTCAACATTACGAAATTACGAAATGAACCATTCGTCGTAAGGTATTATTGGTCTTGTTGTTGTTGCTGCTGCTGTTGTTGTTGTTGTTGTTGTTTGTCGTCCACGTCTTCTTCTATATCCCCTATTGACGAAACTATCTCGTTCACGATAACTTTTACCATAATCATAGCTTTTTATTATTTTGTTGAATATTGCGGCGATTCCATCATGACCTGCATGATCAAAATGTTTATTAAAATGAAATGAGGTGTAATTTCGAGCTGGGTTTCATCAGTCCATACCTTGCTTGGTTGCTAAATGTAATGGGGTGTTGCCATGATCATCTGTTGCCGTATAGTCTGCATGATTTTTCATCAAATGCTTGACAATATTCTCGAAACTTGAAAGCATTTATTTGGCACATCAACCCATTTTTCATGTAAAGCTTTGGTTCAATATAAAGGTTCAATGCGTTTCCGGTTTTACTACATATAAGCAAACACTTATTCAACACAGTATTTTCAATTCAAAATATTCGAATAGATTTATATTCTAAAAAACCTCTCTCAACGGCAATATGAAGTGGTGTGGATCCATTGATATTTTGAGGATTCAAGTCAACGCCGCTTTTAACCAACATCCAAACGGCCGTCTCGTTCCCTGCAAACAAACTTTGCATGAATTTATTGTTCCAAAATCGATAAAGAGCAGCTTTACCGTCCTTGACCGCATGATGAATTGGGGAATTTCCATTTTCATCGTTAATATTTAGGTTTCCGAATTCAAGAACCGTTAAATTCCTATGATTTGTATGACCTGAATAGAAGAGGTTTCGTGAAAAAAAAGCTCCATCACAGTGATAAAATGGTTTAAGGTCCTTTTCGCATACCAGAAATGACAAAATCCGTCTCATAGATTGGAGGTAGATTTGCGCTGAAAGCGATCGAAATATTTGATACATGGATTTGATAACAGATGGCTCTTACCTACGATTCAGATGAATTTGTATTGATCCAGAGGCCTTTGAACAAACAATATAATATTAAAAGGAACAAAGTTGGTCTTAAAAATATCCATTTACCTGCAGTAGAATGAACTGGATTTGATCCAAGAAATATAACAATCATACATAAAAGCCCCATGTTCCGAATTCTATTATGAACACAATGAAACAAAAATGATCGAAAATTAAAAGCTAATTTCAAATAGAGTTTCATAATCTATGTATCTGTTGTTCAATCATTATGGTTGACGATTCGGAACAATTTTGTCGCATCCGGTGACTTTTGATTCTTTTGGTACATCAACATATTTTGCCTTGCTTAGAACATATCGGCCATTCCACACGAAATCAGGGAAGAGTTGCAATGTTAGGTCGCCGAATTGGCTGAAAATTGGCTTGGAGTCTTGTTTCCGATAGAAAAAGAGAAAACCAAAATCTCAGGCCCAAAAGTGGCCCGCCTTTCTGAGTTCAGCGAAAAGTAGTGTCACTTGACGTAGCTTCAACGTGAATATAGTTACAGTATGGCCAGATGCGATATAATACAAGTTCCACCATCTGGCAAAAATCCTTTAAAACATATTTCTTCACCCAATAGTACATCAAAACAAAACTTATGGGTCAGTCAATTTCATCTTTTTTTATTAGGATTTCACAATCATTATTATCGATTCAAGATAATTTTAATAGACTGTTGAATTCTTTTTTCAGTTCCACGCAACTGAAATCTCGTTTTTGGAATCGCTGACGTATTTCAATGCTTTTTTATTTTCGTTATAATAGGTTATTTATCATATTAGTTTATTGAAAATAAACCAACTTAGATGCTCGTAGTTTTATAATAATATTTGTAATATCAAACTTCAAACTCAATGAATTTTCAGTCACCACAACATAACTTTTTGCCACATTCAAAGTTGAAATACTTACTTACGTATCTATCTTATCTAACAAAAACGAATGATCAAAATCGGCGACACAGTGCTTACTCCACCGTCGATCTACTGAAACAGAAACGTTGTGTATGCTTTCGGCTTCTTTTATAAACTAATTGAAGTAATTGATCTTGCACAGCTCATATGAATACTGAGCAGCTTATAAAATCTACGACATCATAAATCTTCAATAAAAATTCAGTCGCTTTATTATTAGATTATGAAAAATATGCGTTCACAAACGTAAACACATTGGTTTGATGAGATGACGTATGCATCTAATTGAACATTTACGTTGATAAGTCAGAAGATTTTGAGAATAAGTCTAGTTTCTCTTGGTAGTAGGTGTAATCTCGATTTAATTGGATTATTGAATTTTTCATGATGTCTAATTTGATATTACTAACCAAGAAGGTAAGAACATTTACAAATAAAAAAAATTGTTTTTTTGCCAAATGAGTGTGTGTGTGTGTAAACATTCTTCCACTTACCGTAGTGAAGGTTCCCAAATTCAAAATGAACTCACATGAAATCCGTGATAGTAAAATAATCTTTAGAAATTTTGAATCATAAGAGTGAAGTACTTTTGCAAGACTACAGGAAGATCAAACCAATTGCATTCCTACCTGGGTTGGTACGTAAGAAACATGACTGTGTATCTGACATCAAAGTTACGTATATTACATCATGTAATTTACCTATGAAAAATCATGTAATTTACATGAATTTGTAAGAAACCTGTAAGAAACTCTGAAGAATGATTTTTTCATAAAGAACTAATGCAAAAAACAAAAAAAGTTCGATTGGAAATGAAGAAAATTTGCATTCTATTTTAGTTTTGTTCTTTCGTTATGTAAAAAATTAATTCTGATGATGAACAAAAAGTGAAGTAAATATTCTTCATGTAATTATTTCATTATGTAATCAAGGTTTTCAATCGTCTTCTATCAACTATTTATGGAAATATTTGCATAGTGATTCGGTAATTCTGCATTTCCATATAAAAAAATGCGACTTTCAGCACGCATTCAATTCAACGTCTTATATTTCCAAAAATAGTTGAAATTTTTTATTAAAAATTTATTATAACATTATTTAAATCACACATAAAAGCATGCAAAAATTCATTTGGCTACATGTATACTTGATAACACCGCGAAAAAACACACTTTTAAAAATAGTTGGTGGCTTGAAACTTTTGCATATTTTTATTTATCAATATTTATTAATTATTTATCAGCTAACGCTGAAAAACGAGCATGTATGTACTCTTTATATTTTGAATGCTTAAAACAAACGAGAATAGTCGGTTTTTGTCTATAACCCTGCACTTTTTGGGGCGTTTTGGAGTTTATTACATGCGTTGAGGTTTCTTACGTAATAAACGTAAGATAGATATTTCTTACGTAAATTACTTACACGTCGCTCGAAATACGAAAATTTACCAACATTGCTACAAAGTATCTATAGACCATTGCACTGTGCGACAAAAAAAAGTCGAAGTTGTCTAACTCAGAGCGGATATATCAAAGTTTGGAGAGGCCCATGAGACATGAAAACCCTCAAAAGGGTTTTGCCAAATTGGTTCCATATAAGAAAATTATGGTCATTTGAAAAATTTGCTTTGCAGAGGATTTTCAAAATTTACTTTTACTTGGTTTTTTGGTTTTTTGGTTTTTCATGCAAATTCATGTGACGAACGGGTCAAAAGTAGTGAAAAATGACCAAAGAAACTCAAATCAGCAATAAAACATAGCTACTTCGGACTATTTTTGGGTCCAAACAGGTAAAAGTATCATTTTTCGTATATACATATCCTCAAAATTTAACCTTTAAATGCGCAATTTAAGTATTTTTCACGCAAAATTTCGAAGCAAATCAATAAAAAAATGTAAATCAGTAATGAAAAGCAAGCACTTTGAACCATTTGTGATTCGGAATATGCAAAAATATGATTTTACGAGAATCCTCAGTATCTAACTTTAACATTTTATGGAAAATTGTCATTAAAAATCCCGTTGTTCGGCAGTTTTTTTTATCTAAAACCTCTAGTAAGACTCAAAATAAGCACAAAAACCATATCTTATGTATGTTTTTAAGAATTGTAGGCCAGCGCAAGATTTAGATTGGTAAACGAGATTTTATGGAGAAAAAACCCATTTATGATAATTCAAAGGTCACGAAACTTTCTGTATCTTATTTTTTCACCAAAAAACTCAATCCCTGGAATTTTGAAGCCAATCGAAAGTGATTTACGGGTACCTCCCATACAAATTTTCATATTTTCTTCACAAAATTGACCATATTTAAAGGTTTAAACTAAGTTTTTCGGATACAAAACTTATGGCATTTCCAGATTTTGATTATCTCAATTATTTTTTGAGTTAATGTGTTAACAAACACCAACGACGACGACAACGACGGCACACGAACGGAAAAGTGTCTCAAAAAGTGGTTTTCTACGCGTTTCATGAGTTTTTATGATGATCTAAACCAATTTTGCGAAAAAAGTTTTCGAGACCAATTCCTATACTTTCCCTTGACACGTTGTGTACGGAAAAGTAATACATCAAACTCACTTTAATAAATTAAAAATTCATCACTTTCTCAAACTCGATTCGTTTCAACGAATGTCACATATGTCACATTCCATGAAATGTCAAAACACAATGACAATGTTGTCAAAAGTACTTAAGTAATGACGATTCCACACCAAGTGTAACAAAAGTTGCAGATGACCTCTCCGATTTCGCTCAAACTTGGTGTATAAACTTCTTATGGCCAAAAACTCGCAAAGCCAAAAAATTTGGGTGACCTTCCCCACCTGATGAAAAGTTAGGGTAACCCAAATATTGAAAAAAATGGAAAATGGCACTTTTTGACATTTTTACACTAGAAAAGTGTGGTACAAACTTTCAAAACTATATGCATAGTTGGATAAATAATCGATGGGGCTACAAAAAAGTCCACTATGACAACCCCATCTGGGCTCATTCAAGCTCTGAAAAGTGGGTTCAAAGTATAAAAATGGCAAACTCTTTTTTGACGTGGAAATTTTTTCTCGATTTTTTTGGCTTAAAAGTCGGCCCACCTCAAATTCTTGAGTTTTTCGATATTCCCTAACTATCCGCCACCTCATATTTTTTCAGAAAAATATTCGGTGTGGTCACCATGAACAGTTGTGGTGAGATCGTGCGATTTCAAACTGCCGACCGATTTGGGGCAGAAGAGGCGGTTCAATGTAGTTGGAAAGTTCTACGCGTAAGTAGAATTTTCTACGCGGTTTCCGAATATTATAGTGATTTGGGGCTAAAAGATGGTTTCCGTCCTGCATTTGCCCTAAAATAGTGATTTTTCGACTTTTTGAGCCTTCTTTACCCTTCCAAAGGGGAAAGCGACACCAACCATTGGTATTTTTAGATTTGTTGGAGTCTGATGAGCATTTTATCAGAAAACATCACCAGCGCCAGACCACCTATTCGGTGTGAAAAAAAATTATGTAGTCGAAAAACCATGAAAAAATGGTAAATGGTGACCACACCGAATATTTTTCTGAAAAAATATGAGGTGGCGGATAGTTAGGGAATATCGAAAAACTCAAGAATTTGAGGTGGGCCGACTTTTAAGCCAAAAAAATCGAGAAAAAATTTCTACGTCAAAAAAGAGTTTGCCATTTTTATACTTTGAACCCACTTTTCAGAGCTTGAATGAGCCCAGATGGGGTTGTCATAGTAGACTTTTTTGTAGCCCCATCGATTATTTATCCAACTATGCATATAGTTTTGAAAGTTTGTACCAAACTTTTCTAGTGTAAAAATGTCAAAAAGTGCCATTTTCCATAACTTTTCTAACTTTTCATCAGGTGGGGAAGGTCACCCTAATTTTTTGGCTTTGCGAGTTTTTGGCCATAAGACGTTTATACACCAAGTTTGAGCTAAATCGGAGAGGTGATCTGCAACTTTTGTTACACTTGGTGTGGAATCGTCGGTAAGTGATGGGCGCGTAGATGTGGCGGCGTCACCAGTATCAAATTGCTTCACTGCGAATGTACGACTTCTACCGCTTATCTACTTATCTTTCGTAATCTTTAGTGGAGACATTCAATAAAAAAGGTAAATACGCTCAAAATCTGAACCAATGTTGTCACAACAATATCCATTCCACACCTTCAACAACATTTATTTTGGCGAACATTTTGATCTTTTTGAAATGAATCACCAGGAAATTGTTCCTCAATATTATCAGCATATTCAAAGATCAAAATGTGTTTTTAAACCGACTGTTGATATTTTTATCACTACCCACTTCAAAATGAAATGAATCACACTGTATGTCGGCTCGGTTCTCATTGTTATACAATTGTTGATATAAAATAATTTTAACAAATAAAACTTCAAAATTGAGTATCGATTGTTTGTTTCATTGAATTGGTTCATTCTTAGTATTAATTTCAGAAGCAAGTATCACTTGTCGCTGATTAGATAAGTTGAGTTAATTTGATTTCATTTTGTTGCGTTATAAAGTTAATTTGCAAAATTAATTTTCATTCAGTTGGCTGTGATTATTTGGAAAGAATGTTGGTGTTATTAGTTATTTGTGGAATATTCGCTAGCAGCCGTTTAGGTAAATTCTACGAAATAGCTGTAATTTTCTTTGCAAGTGTATTAGATTCAAGCTAGAAGAATATTTTTTGACAAATAAATTCCATCTTCTTTTTTTAAAATCAAACAATTGATAAAGAAAAGTAACACGATTACAAAATATGCACTTTTCATTCATTTCTGTGGTCTTTCCCAGCTGAAAGCGCTTATTCACCACGCATTGTTGGTGGTCAAACGGCTAAAATAGAGAATTTCAAATGGCAAGCCGCACTATTGGAGGACTCAACATTTTTCTGTGGCGGGAGCATAATCTCTCCAACAAAAATACTATCAGCTGCCCATTGTACGGAGAACATAATTTACTATAATAAACTGAAGGCTCGTGTTGGTTCAACGAATCCAACTGCAGGAGGAGTTATAAAATCAATTGTTAAAATCCGTTCACATCCTGACTATAATCGACCCACCAGCATGAATAATGATATTGCGATATTTTTCCTCGGTGAATCGCTGGTGTTTGATGCAACCATTGGTAGAATACCTTTGGCAGGAAGCAGCGTATCATTATCACCAGGTGTATCAGTTGTTGCTTCTGGTTTTGGAGCTACAACACCAGAGAGCACTAAACCGGATGTCTTGCACTCGGTTTCTGTACCGATCGTTGACTATGATCAATGTTATAAGGCATATAAAAGTTACAAAGGACCGGGAAAACTCACCAAAAACATGATATGCGCTGGTTTTTATGGAGTGGGTGGAAAAGATGCGTGTAAAGGTGATTCGGGAGGTAATTCAAGAAGCATATTTACTAGACTGGTAAAAGAAAAAAAGTTGACCGCAAAAAAAAAGTGAGGTCCAGTTTCAAAAAATATACCTCAAAAAATAGGTTTGGCGTAAAAAACCATATGAGTACCATCTAAAATACCCTGCCAGTTTTTTTTATCAAAATTTTCATGACAGCGATTTCGGAAGCCAATTCATATCGCAACATTTCACGACCTAAATCATTTTTCCAGCCAATTTTTTGGCAAAAAACAATGATGGGGTTTTGTTTGGCTTGTCAATATCTATAACTTTTACCAAGACATCAGCCCTTGAAAAGGCATTATGGGCCAGTTACAGCGTAAAATGACCGAAAAAATGGAAATTTATCGGCATTTTTTGCATTTGTTGCGCTACGAGTCACCCATGCGGTGGACTTTTGTTCAGTTTTTGACTTGAGTCGTGTAGTTAGAACCCGTACAGAAATTTTTATACTTGTCAGATTGCAATTTTGATGAAATTTTGTGTCAATTGATTCAGACATAAAAGACAAATTTCTGGTCAAAATGAGTGAATCACAAACATGAGCTTCGGTTTGACAGCTAAAAGCAAATGATTTTTATCTTTTCTGCCTTTGAACATCTAGTATGATCCTTTACGAACATTTTGGGTACTTACATGACCAAATCGAGTGATGTTTTCACTTATTTCTGGCCTCATATTTTCTTGGAAATATTCTTACTTAAATTCATTTGTACTGACAGACACAATGAAATCTTTTTGCTCACGAGAATATGATCAAAAAATTGTGCCAATCGTTCATTTCAAAATGACAAAATCTAGTTTTTTCTAATTCTCATTCCATTTTAGGTCCGCTAGTTTACGATTCGGGCGGTTCAGGTACAATTTTGTATGGTGTCATTTCATGGGGAGCCAAGTGCGGCGATCCAAATTACCCTGGAGTCTACGCAAAGGTATCGGTTTATCGGGATTGGATTAATAATGCTAATTAATAGTTAATCAAAGACTGAAGAACCGTTGTGAAATAGACCGATTCGAGATCTTTCAGCAGTAAATAAATATTTTGTGCGTGATAAAAATGAAATTTCTATTATTTTTGTGTTTTTTCCCTTGACTAAAGGCAGTCAGACAACCCAATTAGTGCTTAATAGTTAACAATATGCTACTAACTTATTCCCAAAGGACTTCATTCAAAAGAACGTGTGAAGGCTTTATACCATTTGTGCTTTTTGCAATAATATGGAGCCGCCATGATTATTTACCAATTAATAGTACTGAAGTACAATGTATTTGAATCCGTACCTTCTTCACTACTGCTTGAAAACACAATGGTATAAAAATCTGCAAGAATTTACGCCTCGTTCTTTGGACGTAAGCAGTCCAAGCGTGATGATTATTCACTTTTATCATACTTCAAACGACAGATTTTAAGAAGAAATATGTATGTATAGATTCCAAAACTTGGGGACAGAGTCCATATAACCGTTTATAACCTTATTGTAATTTACTGAGAATAAGTGATATAAGCGTATGCCAATGAACAGTATTTCTCAAACAAAACAGAAATCATAATTTCCTTTTCAAAAATATATATCGAAAAAAACAAAGATCTTTTATGTCTCCCAACTAGAAATTCACATTGGAAATAAAGAACGAGGAGAACGGTTGTTCTTGACAACTTTGACATTTTGATGTACACACACATATAAAAACGTATGGCGGATTGGAAAACGTCAGCAATGAACTGAACTATCACTTGGTGTAGCAAGTTCATTGAATGTGTGAACGGGTGGCAATATTCGATGACTTCAAAATCATATGAAAAACCACACAGGTGTTGACAGTGCAAACTCACGGTTTTTTCGAAATATTTCTTCGGAAAACAAATCGTGGATGAAGCCTAGGCTTTGTAGAGCCCGAATATCAACAACAAAAGAAAATAAATGAATATAATTCCCAAACAAATAATGTATATAAAATGTATGGCGTTTCCAATCTCACCACTGTTCACCACAATCAGTCAAAGCATTAATGTGAAATGTGAATGACGCATGACAAAGTGACTTTGACAGTACACACATATGAATTGTTGTCATGTTTACAGTCGGAAACGTCAATGCAAAATCTCCAGTATCCAGTTTCACTCTACTTTTTGGTAGTTGCACATAAAAGAGGAATGATTATCATATGTGTATAAATTTTAATTTTACTCTCAAATTACACCACGTTGAAATTATAATATCGCTTAATGTTTCCAACAGTTCATGTTAAGCAATAACCTTCTTTTCAAAGCCCATCCTTGCAGAATGTCTTCTTTCGGTCCGTACAATGTGACGCTTGCACTTAAATTATTCATTGTTGTGCAATTAACGCTACCATTGCTGCTGTACAAACATAGGAGTGAAATGCCGTCGGGTGTCAATGAAGCGTACGTTCAATTGCACACGGTGCAATTCGAAAAGTGAATAAATAAAGCCAATTTAAATTTTCTTCTACAAATTAAAGAAGCGCTTGTCACACTAGCATGTCAAATAACGGCAACAATTCCACCTACAACATGGAAAATGCACAGGTGACATCAAATATCAAATGCAAGGGTAAATGCATTGGACTGCAATATTTGAACAAAAACTCAAGAATATGCAAACATTTAAAACACATTCACAACGAATGGAAATGCAGTGAAAATGCCCACCTTGTGAGTCGCGTAAATTTTACAAGTGTCATTGAGTCGTTTTCGTCTATTTATTCAGTTTTGTTTGTTTTATTCTTCGAAGCAGAGCTCTTTTACGACAACTGTATCATTTGAAATGATTTCAGAATTTTTGTTGACGATAGTACTCACTATATGATGAAATGTATCGTCACATTGATAAAAGTACAAAATGTTGTTGAATGAATGGAAAATCGTTTTTCCTCCACATTCAAATATTATTTGGAACTTTTAACGTATGCAATTTATCTGCAATTGAATAAAAATTTCGAGTGCTGAATATTCAAAAATAAATTGCTAAAATGAACCATAGGAAAAAAAAGGTTAGGTTTGGACTTTTAACTCTCAAAAACTTTCGATAAGAATCATTTCCGTTTTTTTGTTTTAGTTAAAACTCAATTTCTTCTATTTATTTAGCTAAGAAAAACGATCAATATTTTATCTTTCCTTTCTATCATTACTTCTTTTTCGTCTCTACTACACTGAACTGTAGCCAAAACCCACCAATCCAATCATTCGATCTGCATGTAAAGTATATTTGCAATGTGTGCCACGAAAATCGTCGTTGACCACGGCGACGGCAGCTAAAACGCAACCATGGCCAACGACGAAATAAATTCGTAAATAATTGGAATCTTGTTATCCATCCATATAATTTGTTGTGGTGTGGTGTCTGTGTGTGGCGCCATGAGCAAACGTGATTTTCAATCTTCGTTTTTGTATTTGTTGTTTTTTTCTCCTGTATCTCCATTCGTAATGAAACACACGCGCTCGCGCCAATTCACATGCACAGTGCACACCGAACACGAACCGTCTGAAATAATTCAATGGACCAAGACATCGATCGTCTGCATCGTGCGCTTTATCCGTTCTATTCCCTTTCCATTGGGTCGTTTTCTTTCTCTTTTGTGTTGTTTTTTTGTGCCTCAGTACGCTGTCTCGTTAGCTTATGAATGATAAAGATACAATTTTATATTGCCGGCAAATTCATATATTCACTTATTTAAATTGAATTTGGAACATTGCTCGAAAAGTACACGAAAAAATTGTCTTTGCCAGTAAAAACGTTTCATTTCCGCTGAAAAAAAAGTTCAAATTCTCGGCTTGCCAGTTAAATTCATTGTAACCAATAATTAGCCTTTGGCAAAGGCCTCTTGCACATGTATTCTTATTTTCAATCGCCATACACTTTGCTTCTTTTTATGACGCGACCCTTTCGTCGCCTCGAAGTCAGACTCTGTCCAGGCAATAACTGGCAACAAATGCCTACACGAATCGTAAAAATGAACGAGCAAAAGGGAAGAGACGATATTAAATCATTTTTTAATTATAAAAATCACCTGCAATGTGTCGATTTGGAGTTACATTTTAAGAGTTTGAAAATTATAGGTTTTCATTCCGGTTTAATCATAGTCGATGAAATGATGACACGACGGTCGAACACCATGGGCTGACGGTCATTGAAGAAAAAAACGAATGCCCAATAGCAAATCGCACGGATGCAGCGTTAAATGGAACCTCTTGTTTGCGTTTCGTTTCTCTTTTATCAGCGTTTGCCTTGTTATCGCTGAAGAAAAAATTGAGAAATTATAACATCCCGTCGTTTGGCGGCTGTGCTTTCAAACAAATTATTCATAAAGCAGACGATTGATCGTTTTCTATCCCAGCAAATAATTGATTGCTCACACACGAACGGCTCTAGAACGTTTATTTTCACTCACTTTCCAACCAGTTTAAGTCTTAATTATACCAAAAATAACGCAGTCGCGTTAGAGGCAACATTTTGACGGAATACTTTTTTGTTTTGAGGTGGAAAGAAGAAAAAATCGAATTAAATTCCAGAGGAATTCCAGGCTAATCAAATAGCGACAAAATCGATTAGATTTTGTTCATAGGTTTTGAAGTGGATTGAAAAAGTGAATGAACGAGTTTAACAATGAAAACATCTGGCCCCATTTCAATTGTGATAATTTTTAATTAATAATTTAACGAAGTTCATGGAGTTTTGGCTTGAGATTCAAGTCATGCGTTTTTCATCGACTTTCGTTAGAACAATAAAAATGCATGTCCAAGTGGTCATTTTAAGTCCTTTTTAGTAATTTCGGAGTTTCTAATTATGTTCAGTTACTATAACGTCACCTGGTTCATGTTTTGGAAATAAATAAATAGTTTAATCTCTTTTGCTTATACAAATTATAGACATATGTGTCCTGTATCATGTCTTTTTATAATATTTAGCTTCCTTAGTTTGATTTCGTGCTTAATTTATGCAAATTGAGCCAATTTTCAATTGGTCACTTGGTAATTACAACTCCTTCATTGGTAATTACCAAAATTAATTATAATCACAACGTCTTAGATTCTGCACACTGTTTCTCCCTGAAGAAGAGAAGAAACAAAGAGTCCAATTCTGTTTTGTTTGGTATTCAATGCCACAGAATATTTTGTTCAAAAAAATTTACACTAATCACAAAGAGAACGTTGGGTAAATAAATTGTAGGTAATTTTGGTTTGCATGAAAGTGACCAGAATTTCGGGCAAACCGCTAACAAGGTGTAGAATGTAGTTGAATCCCAGAATGCGATGTCAGTTGCTTCAAAACATATGACCAAATTGGCAGATTGGCACTAAAATCGTGATTGGCCAATATTTTGCTGTGGTTTTCGATCAAAATTCTTTCCCATGCCTACTGGCACATATTGATGAAGAATTTTTTTGTTTTCTATAAAAATTATCACACAAATCGTGTTATGCACATAAAATGGGACTTCCATTTTATGAGCAAATAATATTCACCATACACGATAATCGTCGTTTTGAGTGAAAACTACACCGCAAAGATGTGTAGCATTACATCAAAATTCTTGAAAAAAAACTCTGAAGTAAACATACGATTCATGTGAATAGTGAGATCCACAGATTGCAGACCATTTCAAGAAAACCAAACTATCTGCACATTGACTATTTCGAATGAATTCAATGTGGTTGAGGTTTTCTGAATATGACCGTACAAATCAGGTGACGACATCTTTCATACAGTTGTTTAGGCCATCGATTTATCCATCACCAGTAACAATTGGTTTATTTTTCCAGCCCATTACATTGGGCTTGACAATTCCAATTAGGTATTTTGACAGCGGTTTGAGTTAAGTGCACCTTGAAGACAGAATGCTTAACAACTTGGTTTTCTTTTTAAACTCAATAATAAGCTTGTTTTGCTTTAACCAAAATGAAGAACCATAAAATCAAAACCATTTTTATTTTTAGCCTGATTTTAGTAAGCATCAAAATTGATAGCATCAATTGCAAAATTTTATGGAATTGAGAAGATCGTCAGAAAATGCATAGAGAATATTTAATCGTCGCATCTG